CAGTCCACGATTCAACATCTTCTGGGTCCGACCAGACCAAATCACAAAAAGCACCTAAAAGTGGAACAAGAGATAAATTTTATCAATCTGGATGAACGTAATGTATTAATGTATAATCTTGTACAAAACTAATCGCAATACCTTTATGTGGAATTTCTTGGTTTCTCTCAATCGTTCTAATTTGATCTAGTGTTCTAATCAGCGGGGATAGTCCACCGTGTACACAGAGTATTTCTTCGTTGATTAACTAAACAAAAAGTATTCATATTTGTATGGTATGTATGTACATATACGCGTATTAATCTCATTTATTATTTACGAATACTAACAGCAGCGATTGTGAGCAAGTCAAATACCCTACAGCAGTACTTCCATGCATTAGCATTGCCATATTTGTTTTGACATTCATCTGCATGGGAAATAACAACAAACGTAGTTATTATGCATGCAGAAATAATAAAACGATATGAAGTACTTTTTTAAATATATAAATTGTTAACCATAAAAAAAATGTATACCAACCATAAAAACCGTAGACATGTGTAATTTGTCTGGATTCATGGTTTCCTCGAAGCAATATTATTCTATCTGACCACTTAGCTTTAAGTGTAAGTAGGCGGGTAAATGTTTCTAAACTGTAATACCCTCTATCTACAAAATCACCCATGAAAATATACTGTGTATCAGGCACTTCGCCTCCATTACGAAATAATTCTTCTAGATCGTAAAACTGAAACGTGGTAAACAATTCTGAGCAACAATCAATTTATAGAAAAGGTAATTCATAGCTCCGCTATCAAAACAGATATCATTATCTGTTGGAGATATCGACGCGATGTTGAGGTTAGGACAAAAGTATGAAGTTTACCTGGCCATGTATATCGCCACACACGGTTACTGGAAGGGCCACCGGTTGAATATTCGATTCTTCTAGTAATAAGTCACATACTATGTCACAAAGTTTCTAAACAAAATTAACTTAATTATCGAAAGAAATAGAGAAATACAAATAACCTACAAATGTACGTTAAACATCGTACCGCGCATTTTAATCAAATGTTTCAACGCAATTGATACGATAATACGTAATGTTCAGCGTATATTATTTACCTTAAGGTCATTTTCAGGAAGATACTTGCACTCTTTTGCAATCTCTATCCATTTATCGATGTCTGACATTTTGGACTCGTATTGCAAGAAAATACTGATCGCGCCCTCACACACTACATATATGTGTACTGAATTTATAGCAGATTTATATTTTTAACGATTATTTCGTCGAATCAGTTTAACTCGTGTTTTTGGTGTTTATTTATTTTAGGCACAAGATTTAAAACGCATTACTTAACGATGAACCCAAGAATTGACTTTCTCATCGCGTAAAGACTGCAAGTCGAAAACACAATCAACTTCAGGGTTATGATGCCAGATTGGCTCCCAATCGCGCATGCGGACTGGTTTTACCGTCAGTAAAGTATCTAATACGACCATAAAACTGGCGCCCTTAGTTGTCCCAAAGAAAAATAAAATTATAAATGAAAATTGGAAATACTTCTCAGCACAGGGCCGGCGTAACCTTTTGTGGGGCCGGGTTCAAAAATTTTGTGGGATCTGAATTCACATTTAAATCCTACAGTTAAATTTTACAACGAGGAATTATTTATTTACAAATGCTATATATTTTATATAAGATGAATATTAAATAATAATACTTTGATGATTTTTGTCACTCTTTTCAATTTAATCATCGCTACTAAAAAAATGTCTTGCATCTCAGCAAAAATTGCTTCCAGCGGTGAACCTGCCTTGCTCCGGCCCTGTTTTAACATGAAATAATATTAACTGTGTGGATAAATTATAACATTCGGATAGGGGTTGAATTAATTCTACAGACGAAACACATTTTTTATAAGTAAAAACTTTTCGTGCAGTAAAAGATTCCGGTGTCCTTGGTTTTGGTGTCAACCGTTTCATTAGGATCATACATTGTTTCCTATAGGTACAGCACTGTGCGCCCAGCCTTTGTCAACGCGCGTGCGCGACTGGAAGCCAAATCTAGCATCACAGCTTCAGGGTAAGACTGTAAACGACTAACTTCAGTTCTCTTTAATCCTTTCACCTTATTGGTTCTTGTAATCGGTTTTCGTACAATAAACGTATACGGTGAAATATTATTATGAATGAAATTGTAGGCTTCTTTGTTACATCCTTCAACCATATGTACTAATAAACACGGCCTGTATATACGGTCCTACGAATCGTAGTGTAGAAATGATAACGGGAAAGGATGCCCTCGTGTGACGTCACCAGATAATATTTCTGGATCATTCAAAATGGCGGATACAGTCTAATTCTCAAATATATCATTGTTCAGACACGTGCTGTAAAGGTGACATCTATGTATCGGTTTTTACTATTTTATACTATTTTTTAATATTAGAGAAAATGTTGTCCGAGGCTTCGTTACGGAGATATTAACAGAAAACCTCGACCAATCAGAGCGCGAGTATGCCGGTTGAGCGCTCGCGGTAGCGTACGAGAGCAGCCACTTAGCGCGTAGCTTACGCTCAACCGGCATACGCGCGCCCTGATTGGTCAGTGTTTTCCGTTAATATCTCCTCAACGAAGCCTCAAATCACCTCCCGAACCACCCCTTTCAAACTGTTACAACACTTTTGGGACACCCTGTATATGGTCGAAGGTATACATATAACATCCATAAAAATAGGTACATTATTATTGTGTTGACTTTATTACTTTTGCACAATCAATATAATAAAAAGAATTTACGTAGAATGGAATTTGTACTAATCGATTACTTTCAAGTATTTCATTCCCGAAACCTGATTACTATAAGCATCGACTTCTTAGGATTCAGACAAACACTGAATCACCTCACTCGTGAAACAAATTGTAATCAGGTTAATGAACATGTATTCGTGTCACGAAGTTCAGTATACTAAAACAGAGGTTTAAGAGATAACCTTTCGAATGAAAAATACGCGAATAACACATCGCGTATGGTAATAGTAGATTCAGATAACTGACAGAACTGTAAGCCCAGTTAAATTTATATTAATTCTAAGCATTTGATAGAAAGCTGCATTTCCAATGTTGTACAGCTTTTTTTATTTCGCTAAAGTGTTTTTCATGCATAAATAAATAGTAATTGTACAGTAAGGTAATCCTTATTTCAATGATTTCTGAAATGAATTCTGAAATTTCTGAATTTATGCACCCCTTAGTACCTTGTAAATACGTAAGAAAATATTCCTGCAAAATTTGAGGAAAATAAATGGTTCGTTTAAATGGAAAATACGTGGATTGTATTTAATCGGTTACTGTTTTTTTTATATCTCCGGTAAAAATTGATGAAATGATTTGAAATACAATTTCGTGTATATATATAGAGAGAGAGAGAGAAAAAGAGAGAATACTTTAAGTAAAAAAAAAATTTAATTGTCTGAAACGAAGAAAGTGGTGTAACCCCTTAAGTTTACTTGCGATTCCAAGGATTACATAGAAACTATGGTTAATGTAAATTATATTATAAAAGAGCAACCGTGTACTAGTTTCTATCCGATATCTCAACAATGATATGACGGAAATTCTAAAGATGCAACCGTCTCGGTTAGATTAACCCTTTATACTCGAGAAGCGACTCTCAGACGGTAACTCGAACATTGACAGTGACGTAACACTCTTTGTTTATGTTAGATTTCATTGAACCTTGAAGCGTTGATAGCAACGTCGGTTCATAAATAGACTCCTAAGCTCTTCATGTACTTTTTCAGGAAATATAAAATGATACAACTTAAAATAACAGTAAAATATTTTTATTGAAATTATGTCGCGTCTACGATTCTAATAGTACAAAAATTAATATTAAAAACATTTGTATACTACAACTATCGGTAATTAGAAACAGTCTATAACTTGAAGGAAGATTTTCTAAATAAGTACGTACGTACAAGTATCTACATAAGTCAATAAATATATACAGGGTGTCCCAAAAATGTTGTAACACCTTGAAAGGGATGGTTCGGGAGGTGATTTGAAACAACTTTTTCCTTAGCGAAAATGTTGTCGGAGGCCTCGTTGAAGAGATATTAACGGAAAACGTCGACCAATCAGAACGCGCGGATACCGATGGAGCGGCCGCGGTAACGAAGGCTACGAGCTAAGCAGCCGCGTCAATGCCCTTCGATGCACGTTGAGTCACTTGTTCGCGTACAAGCGCGGCCGCTTAGCTCGTAGCCTTCGCTACCGCGGGCGCTCCACCGGTATCCGCGCGCTCTGATTGGACACCCTGTATATCAAAATTCAATTATGCCATTAAATTTTTCTTAAAAATTGCCACGAACTTTCTGATCAACCTATTATCAAACACATTCAAGAGTTCAATGTTCTTGAAAAGCCCCAAATTAACAGTATTAGAAATATTAATAAATACTTGAACGGTATAATACATATTTATGTATGCAAATAATTTCCATAAAAATATTCAAATACTCCCAGCGATAGACTGCATGCCAGTCTTTTCAAGCATTTTCGTTTGAATGACCAACGTTTCATACGTACAGTAGGTGTAGAATGTATTCGTACACCGATCAGAAATTCCCTAAACATTATCAAAATGATCTGAATTTACCAGCTCGCTATAACGAAAATGACGATTGAATATGAGGATTGAAAAGTGGATTGAGAAATTACATTCCATCGCGGTTCTGCTCCAATTATACATATATACATAATATAAACATCTTATCTTGGAAAATAAGGGAAACGTGCGCTGCATCATTCCGAGTATGGGAGGTCGGACGAGATAAGGAAGTCGTGGTGGCCGGACAGCGTCATCGAAGATCATGAAGGACGTTCGTACCTAGCGCTCGTTACACAAAGATGTTGCTTTTTGCCTCCGTTTTGTATCTCGTCGATTCGTTCGCCCCCCCCCCCCCCCCCCCACTTACTCGCCGACCGAGTTGATAAATGAAATTCAGCATCGCTACGTGACACTAGTCCAGTACATGGTTGCTTGTTACAACGCGATATATTATAGAACGCTCGCTCGACACTACACAAATTGTTTCCTCGCAGTACTCGCAGCACCGACATAAAAACGTATAAACGCGACTGTGTCACGTTAATTCCTTTAACGAAAACGTATCCAATCTGTTGATGACCGTTTCGAAGTATTTTCATCGTAGTTGCACGCGATTCGACACAATCGAGCACCAGAATCGAAAGCTGCGGAAACTCGTGAGAGTCCACTTTCCTGGAGCCAAGATAATCGGCGAAGGGACAGCAAGAAAGATAATCACCAAAAGGGAAATCGCCGAGCTGCTCTTCGAAACTTGTACCGGTTAGTTTTTTGCTTTGTTTTTTGACGTATGCATTCGGAAATTATCACGGCTACCAATTAGTACAGAATAATTTTACAAAGGAAAAACTCTTGTCCGAACCTTCGATGTTCGCGTATATCTTTACATTTTCAGATAAGGGCCTGCTTCAAGTAAATTAAATCACCTAATGGTGGTGTTTCTTAAGACGTATCAGCGCTAAAGTCATTTATTGTAGTCTTGTCGAGTTACGTTACCTTCAAATTAAAGTTTACTAAGCGATCAGCATATTACTCGATCGTTTCATTAATCCAGACCCTGGTTATGATGATTGAAGATCCTGCAAAAATATTCTAAATAGGGCCCTCTAGATAGCAGAGGAGCTTCCCACTCGCGCATGCGTCTAGGTTACTGCTGACCGCGCAGTATTGTACTTAGCTATAGGAAACGCTGTGACTGGTTTCAGTTTACGTCCAACAATGTTGCACATCGATCTGCTCACAACTTCGACAAAGTTGCATCCCGAAAGTCCAAAAAATGTGAAACTTCAACAAAGTTGCACGATCGGAAAGCTTCAGCAAAATGTGAACAATCGCCGCGGCTCGAAACTTTCGAGGTGCAACTTTGTTGAAGTTTTGAGCGGTGCAATTTGCAACATTATTGAAGTTCGTTCTGCTTAGAAGATCAACTATGTTGCAAATTGAGAACAGAGAATTTTGAGGGGAAGGGTGTCAAGTAATGAAGGGAAATGTACCAGAAAATAGAGGAAAATTAAAGAGAAATGTGTCAGGAAATGAAGGGAAATTAAAGAGAAATGTGGCAGAAAATTAATCGGAAATGTACCAGGAAATGGAGGGTAATTAAAGGGAAGTGTGCCAGGAAATTAAGGGAAATTTCTACGAAGCTGTATATGACGCTATTATTTTAGAATAGCTTATTAATACTATATTAAAGCCACACAGCGAATGATTCGAATGAATTTCTTTCTCCATTGCAGATTGCAAAAGGATGACGGCGATTCCGCAAGGCATGTTTGCAGCGTACAAAGTTCGCCGTAATATTGAACGCAATTCTCTAATGCGGATGGAGGAAAGAGAAAAAACGGGCAAGGAAAACGCGTTCAACATGAGACCTCCTGGGGAAGGTGTTTATCGAAATTCTATACATCAGATTCTCCTCTGTTTTAACTTTTTCTGGTTCAGTTTTTTATGACTTCGATACATTTTTGTCGGGCGTCACTCATAGTCATAGGACCACAAAGGGTTAAGGATAACGTTTATCAAAAGACGTCTCGATTATCGAGTCGATATGAAACAAAGAATATGGTTTACCGACCAGTATTGTTAAAAAGCTTATTAATGAAAAAATATAACATTTTTTGACTGTCCCATTAGTGATAACACATTCGTGTTTAGATAAATAGATTAACCAATTTTGTATTCACAGGTTGGGAGCTTACACCAGTGAAGTACAACAGCAAATTGATGAACAGCATCTGGGGACTTTACAACCGTTATTCCGTCCACAATTTCAAGAAAAACACCGATGGCGACGAAGGGGTGTTTGGGGCGTTCGTGGCGGTTTGGGGAAGTGTTTTTGAGAACCAACCCCCCGCCACGAACACGGTGACTGCAGTTGCGGTCGCCGAAAACAATTGTTTCACAATCAAAAATGCAAACACTATCTAATGGCTTTATCTGTCTTTTTACCTTATAATTTGTGCATTTTTCCAGTTAGCTAATGCCGGCTGCAGTTACTTAAGCCAAATATATTCAATCATTAGAAGTTTAATTAAGAATTATAGTGTGGAAATTGTGATTAAGAAACTAAAACTTACGAGAAATCATACAACATATGGAACTGCAGAAAATTTTCCATTGCGATTGTACATTCTACGCAAGATTTGATACAATCCTGAAAATTTAAACTTTTCTCTGAAAACATCGATCGCATTGATTTGATACAATTACTATGGAGACAAACGAAGCAAGTGTGATTTAATTTAAAAAGACTGTCATGATATTCTTAACCCCGTATAGTCTCAAAAGAGTATAAGAGTTTTACAAAGAAATATATATGTATATAGAAACATTGTAAACTATCAATTGTATATTTTGTTATGATGTTATATACTAAACGTGTACAACCCTGTATTAATTATATTCGAGTTGCGATTAAATAAATATAGTTAAAAATTAAATATTGTTCAATTCTTTCCGCTTTTACATTATAAATTATCACCAACCGAAAGTAAACTTATTTTCATCGCGAATCCAATAATACGTTAAGGAATTACAATAGCATGACAAGCGGAAACATAATGTAGCTATTAAATGTTGTTTTATTAAGGCAAATATGTAATATTATTTAATATTTGTCGATCATCTAAAAGTATATGAAATAAAAAAATAAAGATGTTTTATAATCTGCATTAACACTTAATCGACCTATGTTATTGGCTATAATTTTTAGACGCATTAACATTATTTAATAAAGTTGAATAGATTTGTAGTCTAGCCCTTTGTACTCCTCATTGTCAGGCTAGCTCTACTGTTCATATACTTACAATTAGAGATGTCCTGTTATAAGTATAAGAATAAATATAATATTCTTATTAAACAATGTGAATTTATGTATGCTCGTGTCTGATTAATGAAAGTGTTTAATTTGAGAACAAGTTGTAGAATGTACAAAATTGGCAAGATTCCACTGGAGTGTAAAGGGTTAATACATGTATCTTTAGATAATAGATGAACAGAATCCAGTGTGTATTTTAATTCTGAAAACTTTGGGAGGAGAGAGTCAAATCAGAAGTTTCTCCTACATAAATTATACTTTCAAACCGATCGAACCAACTGTTATTATGTTTCTGGGACGTTTTGTTTATTGTATAGGTCCTTGGTTTCCTACAGGGATAAGATTCTTCAATTTCGTTGGAACTGTTAGAAACATTCTGTTCCAAACCCATAGACAATGAAATAGAAGGAGATGATTCTAGTTCTTCGTCATAAGAAAACTTGTCTTCACTCATTGAGGAAACATTGTTAAATCTTTTTAGATCTTTTTCAATGGAAAATTCTCTCTCAAACGTTTTGTTGTGAACTGTTTCAACCGTGTTGCTTACTCTCTTTGTTTTGCAGGAACATTCATACAATTTCTGTTTTACATAGGGATAGTCTTTCGTGTCACTCGCATCCCTACATACTGTGAACGTTTTCTCATTGGGGTTTCTTATCATTTTCTTTGTGATCACAGCATTCCTTATCTTGGCAAAATTAAGATTTGAATGTTTCGAGGGAAAATTGAAATTTCTACGTTTCCGTTTTACTTTCGGAGGAATGGTTTGAGTGTATGTGCTTACAAATTGTTCGTTTTCGTTCGGTAAACAGACATTTCTGGCTTGCGAAGTATCTTTTAGATTAGACTTTGATGGAAACGTGTACGAATTTAGGAATGTGGGATCTTCTGGATACGAATCTAATTCGCAACTTAACTCGGAGAATCGTGGAAAAAGAGTGGCACGTTTTGTTCCGAATATTATTTTATCGTGTCGTTGGATTCCTTGTTTAGCTTTGTGGGGAGAGATAACCTCCTCCACGCTTTCCATGTATTTCGATGTTGTCAAATTTCGATCTACAGATGGTCTCGCAAATTGCTGACGAGATTTCTTGTCAGTCTGACTGCACTCGTCTGTCAAACATGTGATTTCGGTAGGAATGTGAAACACGTTGCCCTTCTTTCCGATGCGAAAAATATACCTCAGAGGTGAAAGCAATGCCGGATCCAGAGTTTTATTAGGATAATAAACCTGATAACAAAGACACGGAACAAATAACTGTGAAAAGTAATTGTGATATTACAAAAAAAAAACTGTTGGAAACAATTACAGAATCATGTACAGTCAATTTACGAAAAAACTTTTGTGAGAAATTGTAGTTTCTTAACATCTTTTTTTATAACCAACGGTATTTTACATATTCTCGGAAATCTCTAAGATAGATATAGTCAAGCATGAAACCGAATTATTTCATTTCTAAAATATTTGTTTTTATTAATGACGAAAGAAATATTTTACATGTGCACGTTACGGCATACAAAATTAATTCATTGAACGGATTAAAAATACAGACGTAAAATTAAACGTACCTCGTGTTTTTTTGTAGATCCGTGTCTGGTCTTCAGCAAACCAACGTTTCCAATTTTCCTCGTGTACTTCTTAACTTTGTACAAAACGCTTGTTTTGTCATTCGCACGGTGTTCGTGGCGATTATTGGACGAGAGCTCCAGGTCATTGGCGAGATAATTGATTTTTAGCGCGCCAATCTCTGCACGCAAATCGTCCAAATTGTTGGCGAGCATATTAATCTGATCGATCAGTTGCTTCATTTTTTGTTGATCGCGACCACATCGTTGCATCGACATGTATCTAAACCTAACGAGGCTTATCGACGCCCAAAAGGTTCCAATATTCAACAAATATTACAGAATTTTCAAAGTCCGAAATGTATATTGAATTTCACATTGAAATGAACGGGGTCCATAACACAAATTTATTAAATTATAACCAAAAAAAGAAAGAAGAAAAAAATTGAAAGGCAGTTCACATATTGCACAGGGCGTCTCACAAGGGAAGGTCGCGATCCGGACGAGCGCTTTTTGAACGAGACCAGGCTCAAATGGGCATAAAAAAAGTGCAAAACATTAGGGGTATCTGGCCAGCCGTTTTTATAAAAAATGGCTTTAAACATTTACTGGTCACTAGATATACGAAAACATACTAGTTTTCAACATAATTATGTATTTGGCTACTGAATATATATATATAATTATATTATATATTATATATATTATATATATAAAATCTTTATAAATAATATATAAGAATTATAATATTATATTCACATTTATAGTATTTGCAATTTCTGCCCATATATATATATATAAAATATTATATATATTATATAACATAATATTATAATTCTTATATATTATTTATAAAGATTCATTCTAATTTATACTATACTGTAATGAATATCATATCAGATCGAGAACTTAGAAGGCTGATAATTCAACGTGACAAAATGAGTTAAAATAAATATTTTTGCGTAAAGTGTAGTAATAAACGATTGGATACGAAGGCACAGAATTAATTTCTAAATTAATACAATGAATTAATACATTGAATTCTCGCGCTACACTAAAGTATTTTTGTGCTATCAATAAAAAATTGAATTTCGATGACATTTTGGTTCGATGAAGGCTGTTTCAGCCGGAATGTCGCATTCATCTTTCGAAAATAATTACTTGTTTGAATAATCGAAGATTACCAATATTACCATACAAATGTTTTGTTACTCTACAAAACAATCCAGAATAAATAACTACTAACGGAATAGTTCATATTAAAAAACATGTAATCTACCGATTACAAAGGGAACAGGAAAGAACAATTTAGTAATCGGAATTGGAGAATTCCGAAAGACGACAAGAAATCGGTAGACTCGTATTAAATATCATTTATTTGATTCGCCGTACGTCCTAGGTACATTAGTCGTCAGTCGGTGTCGCGTATCATAGCAGATTGGCTATCAACGTGTGAAGTTTGGTAATACAAAAAGATTCTCCCATCCTAGCATGTACATCGACACGTAATACTATACTCGTATTTGATTTCTATGTACAAATTGTAACATTGGCATCCGTTAAAATAATTATCATTTCTCGAGGGACGCAACGCGCACCGTACATGGCCATTCCGCCTTTCGTCGGTGTCCCTCCGAAAAAAGCATCCTATCACAACAGCTAAACAATTAAGATGCAAAAATAAAATCGTAAAAATAGATAAACATGAACAACATCGCGCGTACATCAATCAGGAATTGCGTTTCTATTTTTATTTTTATTTTTATTTATATATATATATATATTTTTTTGTTTATGTACACAGGTGTAGCGTCGAAACACCCGCGGAGAATTTTCGATTCCGTGTGTTCGTTGTTCGTTTGTAAATCGCGTTGTATAAACTCGAGCTGTAAAATGGCATCGTTACTCGTACTTCGATAAATTACATCGTAAAAAAAAAAAAAGAAGAAGAAGAAGAATTTGTTACGTTTGACGCGATCGTCGCAACCGGATCGTGGCGAGTTTTCCTTTTTTGCGTGCCGCTTTGCGCAGGCATTTATTACTGGAATGCTGTTGTCGATCGCATATCGTATTTTGGTAAACACGACCACACAAAAGTGTATCGTGACGACCAGCGGAGGAACAATTGCAATATAATCGTTCCGCGTAAGGTAAAACACCCAGTACTCGAACACCGCAAAAAAAGTTGAACCGATACTTGAACAATTTCATGTATGTATGTTCATAAAAGAATTCATTTAACAGCGCACTGTTGTTAAACAGAATTACAAGTGATATTTAATAATATAATATAAACTATAATCAATATTTATTTATATTTATATCGTCGTACCGCTCGCACAACTCCGGCTAGTTTTACTTTTCGAATCAAGGTAATATTTCAGCTATTTTTTAAAACATATTCAAAGTACTGGGTATATTACCTTATGCGTCGAGGACATTTTATTTACCAAGCGCGCACATAAATGCAGACGACGTTCCAACGATCGCGTAGCAGTCGACATTGAAATGTTTCATGCGCAATTACCTTAAGCCGCGCTAATGTTACAACAAATCCTCCACTGGCGACGCTAGTCTCACTGTACATTTTTGTATAGCCATATTTTGTACTTCGTTCCTAGCTAAATTCTAGGTAGAACCGTGTACTTATGATCGTATGTAAGTTCACCTAAAATCGAGGTAATCGGGTTGCACATTACACATTGTCCGCGAATCGCGTTTGAACGCGATACCTTGGGGCCACGAGTCTTCGGACAAGAAGCAAAAGCCAGCGATTATTGGGCAAATTTTCAGCATCTAGTCTCTTATACAATTTATGTTGATACCGTCATCGAAGATCACTTTATGCCAAACTTGGACCTGTAATTACTTTTAACAGCAATAACTACGCTGTGGATTTTACGCATTCACGTGGCATGCATACGCATGGCGTACAGACATAATGAAAAATACATAAAAAAAATATACATAACGTATGTTGAATACACTCCAGAATTAAAATGATAACATTGTTATTTCATTTTGTATAGGTGCGCATACCTTTTGTTTATGTGTAGCATGTATCTATTATGTTAGTGTACGTATACATCATAAAATCCGCAGTCTATTCGTTAATCAATAATCGTAATTTTCTAGTTTCCTCTAAACTATCGCGATTTTCCATTTAAAGTCATTTGGAATTTATTCTTTGTTGTTTATAACAGGATGGTAAAAATGATATTATTATTAAAAAATATCGATGACCTTAAAGATTCGAAAATGTGACCTTGAGAAAAGTTTTGCCAATAATAACAATTGACCCTTGAAAACAAATACTTTCTTCCTATCGTCGACAGCAATAAAACATATTACAGAATTTACGATAAGCGATTATTTCACTGCGTCAAATGGGAATATATTATTTTATATTACTTTATACGCACCGCTGCTACAGATAATAGAATTTCTTTTCTCATGAAATATAAATTAAAGAAGAATTGGAATCTCTTTCAAAATATACTAAAATTGGCAGAACTTCACCACAGATGACGGTATAGGATTCAGACGCTTTATCATTCGAGAAGATTGCAATCGATACACATATCCCCGTTAACATTCGTTTGACAGCGTATAAAGCGAAGATATAAATTTCAAATAACGAATACAGAATGAATACCTTTTAATCCATTGCTCGTTAAACAAGAACTGGAATTTTAATTGTATAAAGTGAAATTATATTTCACTGTGAACAGAGATTTATTTGTACGACTGTTCAGTCGAATAAACGTCCGGTCGCAAATAAATCACTATAGGGCATTTTTATTAATCATCTACTGCTCGAGTAAAATTTTACGCGTCGCTGCCGAAAAGATCGTCGATTCTCTATTCGTATCTGTAATACTGATAACTCCAAATGAAAAAAGAAAAAAAACAGTAAAAATTCTGAATACGAAATCCATTAACCTCGCCGCTTCTTGTCGGAAAACTCACTATTGTCACCGCTACGAAGCTAAACGAATCGTTCTTCTGGAGTTTGACATGCACCAAGCACGCCATTTTTAATACTTAGCAACTACACGTAACCTAGAGTTGGGCATTAATCGATTGATTCTTCTCGAACTAATAAACTGATCGCACGAGGCGATTGTTAATTTAATCGTCAGAATTAAATTAATTAAATTAAACCGCGATTAACGGTGGTCGATTACTGAAATTAATCGCTCGCGACGATTAACGATTAAATTAATCACGAATTTCGCTTCACCAAATAATGAATCGTTTGATCGTTAATTAAGCATATTTGTTTGTAAAAATTGTCGGTTTCGAAAATAAAATTGTTTCGAGACTGTCAAGTTGTTCTGTCCTTTTCGAGCATCATAAAATTTCTCATGTTTCAGAGTTAAAGCGTTATTCGATATAAATTATCCAGATTAAAAATGTCGCCGGATTATTATTATTATTATTTCTAGTTTCATAATATTTCCAGGAATATATTTCTGACTAGTTAAATTTCTTAAACACCGAAAAAGTTGTTCGATAAAGAATGCTGATTAATTTCATCACCAATGGTCGCAAACGACCAACGGTTCTCGTTCGATTAACCGAAAATTAGATATCAATCTAAAAAGATTCGTTAAGAACAGAGCGCAACGTCAGAGAAATGAGTGATCGATTCAACCGTCAATCGTTACTTCAATTACGTTTTAGCCCAACACTCGCGTAATCTAAACATTTGCAACGGTATAAATAAAACATAAAAGACGACGAAAAATCTTAGACAAAGTAGAAGTAGAAGTGACTGGATTGAATCTCTTGCTGCCGACCATCGAGCAACAGACTAGACGACCCCTTTGGACTAGAAGTCCTTTGCGCTGGCCACCTGCGTCTGTTCCTTTTTTCTTCCTTGGTCCCTCTCATTCTTTTCTTCTATTTCTATTTACTTTCATTTCTTTTCTGGCACAGCCTTGTTCCTCCTGCTCCATGGGGGATCGTGCTGTCCCTCCTTTGGGATCATCCTCGTCGCACGGACGAAGGGCTTAATTCTCGCGGTTGATCGAGATCAAAGAAGGGCGCGACTTGAAGGACGCGTTCCAGAGTCCTTTGAGAGGATTCTCACCCTCTGTGATTCGCGACCGTCACCCGTCGTTACGTCGGGTGACGTCTCTCCCAAGATTCGTCCTGAGCTTTGTCTCACGTATCTCCCGGTCATCGGCTCGTTTCAGAACGACATTCCTTCGAATACTCTCTCGGGCGTGGATGCGCACAGATGTAGTGTGCTCTCCATGGACTAGCTCAGTTTAATCGGCCGTAGTACGGCCTGTCGGGAATTCGGGGAGGAATATTGGGTACGGGACGCCTATAACACAGATAGCGATTAAATACTCGGTGATGTTGATTTGCGCGTCCAAGACACGCGCGATATTATACAGGGTGTCCCAAAAGTCGACGAGGAGCCGGAAATGGGGGGTAGCTGAGACGATTTTGAACAACAATTTCCTTTGCAAAAATGTCGGATGGGGCTTCGTTAAGGAGATATTAAGCGAAAACCCCGACCAATCAGAGCGCGCGTAGACCGTTCGAGCGGCCGCGGTAGCGAAGGCTACGCGCTAGGCGGCCGC